ATAAATAATGGCAAACCAACATTGAGTGACAATTCAATCAGACAATCTTCATCCTATTTTGAACATGTCGACACATTTTTTGCGGATGCTCCAATTTCACAATTTAAAAAAGTTCTATCAAAGGTGCCCGCATCAGTAAATCGTTGCCTTCATCATTTTTACCAAAAATGATTCACATTAAAGAGATGCTGGTTTTTATGCATAAACACATTGGCTGAATTGTAGATGTTAAGGGTGATAGTAATTGTAGTTATCGCGTTGTTTCAACTTGCTGGATAACATAAAGGAGAATCATATACTTGTCTACCAACATCTTATTAAAGAGTTGAAGGTGCATAAGAAATAATACACAACACTATGTGGGAATAAAATAATTATTCAATAAAATGCATGCATCTCTTATTCCTTATGTAGTTGTATTAGCGGTCCAGAACCGGAGACAAAATGGACGTGTTTCCTTGAAATGAATCATCTTATGAAAAATGCATATAACGAGGTGTGTATCTATGTGAGAAGATACAATTTTTCAATAATATTTTTCACTTCAAAGTGGTCCACCTCAAAATCTAGGCCGGCACATCATGTATATTGGATGGCTTTCAAAATCATAACATTTTGTTCAAGTTTATTTAAAACTGGAATGTCCTATACCACAAACATTCATTGAGTGGACACCCCATACCACAAAAGAAGCTGAAACTTGGCAGAATAAATTTTTTTGTTTGGATGGAAGAGTTATAATATTGAGCGAAATTGAAAGAGAGTCAAATCAGAAAAAGTTAAAGGTGAAACCACCCATATATATATATATATATATATATATATATATATATATATATATATATGTGTGTGTGTGTGTGTGTGTGTGTGTGTGTGTGTGTGTGTGTGTGTGTGTGTGTGTGTGTGTGTGTGTGTGTGTGTGTGTGTGTGTGTGTGTGTGTGTGTGTGTGTGTGTGTGTGTGTGTGTGTGTGTGTGTGTGTGTGTGTGTGTGTGTGTGTGTGTGTGTGTGTGTGTGTGTGTGTGTGTGTGTGTGTGTGTGTGTGTGTGTGTGTGTGTGTGTGTGTGTGTGTGTGTGTGTGTGTGTGTGTGTGTGTGTGTGTGTGTGTGTGTGTGTGTGTGTGTGTGTGTGTGTGTGTGTGTGTGTGTGTGTGTGTGTGTGTGTGTGTGTGTGTGTGTGTGTGTGTGTGTGTGTGTGTGTGTGTGTGTGTGTGTGTGTGTGTGTGTGTGTGTGTGTGTGTGTGTGTGTGTGTGTGTGTGTGTGTGTGTGTGTGTGTGTGTGTGTGTGTGTGTGTGTGTGTGTGTGTGTGTGTGTGTGTGTGTGTGTGTGTGTGTGTGTGTGTGTGTGTGTGTGTGTGTGTGTGTGTGTGTGTGTGTGTGTGTGTGTGTGTGTGTGTGTGTGTGTGTGTGTGTGTGTGTGTGTGTGTGTGTGTGTGTGTGTGTGTGTGTGTGTGTGTGTGTGTGTGTGTGTGTGTGTGTGTGTGCTGACACATTTTTAGTATGTATTGTTGGAATATTATTTTCAACTATGTAATCTATATACATTTTAATGTATATCTAACATTATTTTTATGAAAATTAGGCTTCAAGTTGTCTTGGATAAAATAGCAGGTTTTGTTTGTGTGTATGTTGAAGTAGTAAAGCGGCAAGCAAAAGTAAGTATTTATTTAATTTTATCATATCGTCTCCACAAGGATTAGTGCTACTGAATTATCGTTCGATAAGTCTCGCGTTTATTAGTTTGAGTTTGAATGGGTTTAAAGTGTAAGGTGTGGAAATTAAAAGTTATTAACAGAAAAAGAATTCATTCTTCAGAGAAGAGACTTATCAAGCATGTATATAATTCACTCCTCACAAACTTAAACCTATCGACCAGTCATACGCAACCTACTAGACTCATCAATGTCATCACGCATCAAACACAACACCCACTATATCATCTCAAAGACGATCTCTCAACCAACCTAAACAACACATAAGTCAACCGTACTACTCGCGTTGACGATCTCTCAGCACAACACAACCAACACATAGGCATTAATTACAGACACCCAAATGAATAATAGCTCTAAATCTATCTCTAGAATCTAGACACTATTAGATAGTCACCCTAGATAAGAATTCGAGCAGTATATGTCTATAGCAACCCAAACCTCAAGCACCGAGAAAAAATCTAGGATAACAATCGACACAGATTTGTAAAGCAAACTCTATACAACTTCATGGGCGACAAATATACATGAGTTTAAAGTAAATACATATACAAACTCAACAAATTAAAAATACACAAAGAATAGAAATGAACCACAAATATCTCGGTTTGTCAGCATCGATTGATGAGCAATCCACTCCGGATCATCCGTATGCAAGCTTCATAGTTGTTTTCTAAGTTAAACTACCAAAAAATGAGAGTGATGAATTTTGGAAACAAAAAACATAAAACCATCCCTAACAAATGAAATGAAATAGAAATATAAACAAAATTGATTCAGGCAACCTCGTCCGACGACGACCTTTATTTCCTTGGTCCATCCTACGCCACACACGCAACTGGCAACAAATATGTTCCTTCACCCGACGAGCTTATTCTTCCTCGCCCAGCGAGCTGCTGGCGAGCTCAAGTCAGTAGCCCCTGAAAAATACTTTCTTCCTCTCGCCCCATGCTCGCCCAACGAACACGACGTGAAAGCCCTTCGCCCAGGCTTCGCCCGACGAGGCTTGACAGACAAAAAATCTTATTTTCTTTTCCTGGTGCACAACAATGGCTTTATTGCTTCAATCTTGCATCCTTGGAGCTGCCATTTGACCTTTTATTCCTCAATGCTTCAAACATACATAAATTCCTACAAAATAGATACAAAACTATCAAATGATACACTATGTACATGAAAGCGCAAACATACACAAACTAAACGTATTTATATAAAAGTCGGGTTTATTCAACTGATATTAACAACAAATATTCGATAAGTGCAACAAAAAATATATACAAAAATAGCTACAATTTGCACATATCAATGTATCAGCTTTAGTAATGGACGAATCCAAATTTTAATATTCAAACAACCCATATTTTTTTGTGTTATTTCATACGTAAAATGATTAATTCGGATTTTAATATCCAGACAAACCCTTATTTGTACCTGGTTGTATGGTCCTTATTGATCTAAAGCTTGTATAAATGTCTCATATGTTGCTAATAAAAATACATAATGTTTCAATTTTGACATCTCCTATTTGTTTACTTCAATGGCGGGAGTCCTCCTTTTGAATTTAGGATCACAGAGGACATCCCTCTTATAGATCAAAAATCCAAACAGAATAATCTCTTGCTCTATCCAAATAATTGAAGGGTGGTTAAGATCGAATATCGTTCACCCTCGATTGATAATCGAGGAAAGGTGAAGTTCAACAAATTTGAGCTAAAACAGATGAAGATTTAAGAAATATATGGAATATATTTCACTGTTATGTAACAACCAGTCCAATCGAGGTGATGTGATAGGGTTGAGATCAATCAACGTTATTCTAAAAATGTTGAAATGTTCTCAACCATCTCTTGATCATGAAATGTCATATTAAATTTATATTAACAAAGATCTAAATAATGTTACGTATTTTGTATGAGATAACAAATACTTATGTTAGTTTGTGTTTTCGTATGTGATAACAAATATTTATGTTTGTGTTTTCTTCATCTTTTGTCAGAGATTGCTTGTAGTTTTATAATAACAACGTATATTTCAGATTTTTGTTGCCAAGGGTATATTTCAGATTTTAAAATCTAAAAAAGAACTCTTTAAAATTATTCCATGTAACACTGACGAGTCAATGACTAAATTGTAATATAAAAAAAGAATCAAGATCTTAACTTCAAAACTCTTTAAGCGTTTATTTTGAAAGTTTCATAATTTGTTATGTATTTCAAATGTTCGGATTTTAAAATCTATAATCTAAGGCTATGTTTGAGAGTTTGAAGGGGAAGAGAGGGAATGACTTTGAAAAATAGAAAGAATTGAGTGAAAATGATAGAAAATTTTTGCTTTGGAGGATTTTAGAGGGTTTATTTTTCTTCATAACACCAAAATCCCCTTAATTTAAGAGATCTCAAAATTTATATTAGAAGAGGATTTTAGAAAATTTTAGAGAACTTAATCAATTTGTTCAAATATAATTTTGTTATGATATTTCAAAAACTAAAAATACATTAATGATAAACATTATTTTATTATTCTATACAAAATCTTCTTTTCAAAAATTATTAAAAAATTTCTTTATATTTAAAATCATTTTAGAAAACCCTCCCTTCTCCTCCCCCGCCAAACTCTCAAACATAGCTTAAAGGTATTTTTGAAATTTCACACTTTTGAAATTTCTACAATGTGTGAGTAAATAATTGGGGTGTATTGAACATTCCCAATGGGTGTTACGATTTGTGGGTTGAAATGGACTATTTTTTGTACAAACTTATGCTTAACAAAAGGCTTAATTACTGTGAGACACTTATACAGTAATTGATCCTTAACCTGATAATATATGCAGCTTGAACAATTTAAATTACAAGTATAATAACAAAAAAAAAATTTTAAAAAGAATAATAAATATGCAAGACTATCAGTTTTGCACTGAAGATGTGGAAGCTAATACATATTAGCATGTTAAACACTCAACACATAAAGCTGCATTGCACTTATAGAAGAGTCATGATTGAGAATAGGCATTGCAAGAAGCACAAAGAGCTTCCAACAATAAGTTATGTACAAGAGAAGATTGTCCAACGACCAATCATGTGAGAGGATGATCATATGACAGGTAAAATCCAAGTTTAAATCAACCAACAAATTAATTTCAATTTCAAATGAAAAGGAATAAAAGAACACTGCACAATACACACCCCTTTTTCCAGCAAAGAAAGATAGGGGGGGAAAACAGTTAAAAAAATCATTGTATTTTAGTGTTAACTATAAATTCAGTTGGTGCTCCCAAACTTGAAAATGGAGAACTAATCTCCCACTTGTGTACTTGAAATACATCTCCATGGTCTTGCATGAGTTCTTTTGTCAAGGAGCAGCAGCAAGCCCATACTGTCGGCCGGGAGCCCGAACATATACCTACAGCAGTCACATCACAAGCATTTCAGATGAAGGACATTTTTGCAGACCAAAACATGATAAATATTTTCTTCTCAAGCCTCGTCATTCAAGGAAATATACATTACAAACATTTCATTTGGTTGAAAATCCTGAGTCTCAGCATAATTTATGTGAGACCCGGAGCATGATTAAGTCGGACTAATTTCCAAAATAATGAGAGTCATTTGAGAATGTTCTGTTAGAAGTTTTCTAGGAAATATTATAGCATAACTAACAGACGTCATCAAACTGAACGTTGGTGATACTTTTATAGGGAGTTTCACCGAGCATCTGTTTGGTTTTAAATCCGGAAGAATAATTAACAGACAATCTTACACTGAAATTGTTATTTAAATATTATGCCTCTGCTTTGATGGAATTGTATCATTATGGAATTGCCAATTCTCTAAAACCATCAACGAAGCTCCATAACAAGGAAGTATAGTAAAAGAGTTTTTCTTTCAAAACTAACAGACTCGCCTATGTTAGGAAACTAATTTACAGAGAAGAGAATATGAATTTGTGATTGCTGTGAAGTTTAGAAGGCAGATGGTGAGTGAAACTTAAAAGATAACCTTTGATGACATGGCTGAATGTTTAATATTTTATTGTAAGACGTGTCGTGCTTTCTATTTGAAATAACTTATAAGCATAGGCCACTTGAGTTCAAAAGAACTACCTTCTCTACAAAAATATTTCAATGGTGTATTCGTCGTGAGAATGACACAATATTTTACCTCGGTTCACTAGACTACACAGTTACTATTAACAATGACAATTACAAATAAGTTTGTGATAAAGTACGTTCTGAGTTATCAGAAAAAAATGTTAGTCACTTACTTGCTTTCATGAGCTTTCTTTCTCCAAAAAACAATTGATGTGATCCACTGAACACAAAATAAAGATGAAATCATGTGAGTTCCATTTCAAAATCTTAGATGAAATATAATTACTTTAGCAGTTATCGAATCAGTAGAAAACTGCATGCATTGCCAGACAAAACACAAACAGTAGATTATAGTATTTTTTGTATACAAAGGTAACGCCCACAGTATAACCAACAAAATGTTACATGCATGAAAATTGAGCCCTCAGAGGGAACAAAGGGAGAAACAGTCAACATCAATTATTTCTGATGTTAAAAAACACTATTTTTTTCATTGAATTCCTTCACAATTTATCCTGCATTTAAGGCATGTTTGTAAAATTAGAAACAAAAAGTTAGTTTGCTGAAAGGCAAACAATGATAAGAAGAATGATGAAAAAGATCATCTCAAAGTAAACTTAAAAGATAGATAAAGAAAATAAATGGCAGAAACATGTGCATCGCATTGGTAGTAACTAGTTTGATTTATTAAATACCTTAAAAATTGACATTAATGGATATCTTGCAGTGATATGTGATTTGCTCGTAGTCATTTTTCTTTGCGGTGTCATCTCCTTGCACAAATGCTGAGCTATTTCCTTCAGTAACACAACCTGTGCTTTATCTGTGCTCATTGAAATGATTGCCTGCCTCATCGATTCCCTATCAGCCTCAAGTGCCTGAAGCCTCAGGTAAAGCTTCCTTATGTAGGGATCCTCAAAATCAGCATGATGATTCCCTGATTCCTTTGGCGGAGTTGTGTAATCTTCGAAAGCTTCAGCTTTGGAACCTGTAAAGCCATTATTTTGTGCCCCAGAATGAACAGAGTCAATTGTATAAATTCGGTCACTTGTATCATCACCTTCTGAAGCATTATCTACCTTCTTCAAATTGGAATGGTCATCTGGCTGAGAGAAATAATCTTTCTTAGAGTTGCTATTGTTCTTTGGAGACTCCGTAGGGAACTCAAGACCTATTTCAGAGGAAACTTTCCTCGAATGCCTCCTCGACAAACTTGGAGATGGTCCAACAATCACTTTCTCTAGAACATTTTTTCCTGTATAATCCCCATCCACCTGGCTGTAAGTGGGAATTTTCTCCATTTTAGAAATCCTATTCTCCAAGTTCCTCAAACGATCATTAGGAGTATCACCAAATACATATTTCTCAACATCAGTGTCGTCATTATCACCATCCATGGCATGATGCATGACATTACATTTTAAAGGAGGGTACTCATAGGGAGAAATGTCATCATATTGATCACCCTCGACTTCATCCTCAGAGTACCCAAAACTCATCATCCTATGCTTGTAAGCCTGAACCTCACACGTAAGTGACTGAATAATCTGTTCTCTCTTATACAACAAATCCTCCAACGACATAAGTTCCTCCTGATCATGCATCATTTTCTCCTCCGCAAAACGCTTGAACTGCCTCGCTTCCATTTGAATCTCCGCCTTCTCCCTCTGCAACCTCAAGATCATCGACATCGCCTCATTTGCAGCCGTGGACGAAGAATTCCTCTCCTCCTCCAACTCCTCATTCATATCCTGAATAGTTTTCTGCTGCACGTTAACCATCTCACGCAAAGCTATAACTTCATTCCCAATCTCAACCCGCGCAACCGACGGCACCAATAACTGACAATCCATCTTAAACTCATCATGCTTCCGTTTAACCGATCTCATCCAAGTCCCAGAATATTGATCAGCATTAAAACAACAACTACACGCACAGTCGCAACATTTCAACAAATCCCTAGACGACGGAACCGCCTCCATATCCATTTGTAAACACAAAACCTTTCAACAATCCAAAAACTACCAATAGTTTCAACAAACGAAAAATGACAAATCAGGTAACAAAACAAAAACCTTCCAAAATATGATTATTCTAATTTTCTTTCCAATCATCAACCATTCTCACTCCCTGCATTCATATCACCACCTTCTCCAATAAATCACAAAAAAATTATACCTAAAACCAAAAAAAAAAAAAAATCAACAAAATATATTTACAATATCCAATTCCAACTATACTATAAACTTTTCATAAAAAAAAAGGTACAAAGTAAACATAAACACCGAAAATTAAAAAGAAAAATCGATTCTCTTTAATTTTACCTCCTACGAAAAATCTAAAAACCTAACAGAAGAAAATTTCAACAAACGAAAATCGAAATCATAAAATAGAAAAAACTTACCGTGAACGAGAAGCGGTCGTCGAATCAAAAGCATCCGGCGGCGAAGGAGTCGCCGGGAGCGGAAAACGGTGAACAATTTTCCCCCAAAAATTTCAGCCACGGAAGATAAAAAAAACAAATTAAAAAAAAATAAAAAAATAAAACAGCTTTATCTACGAATTGGAGAAAACTTCGAAAACTATGAAATCAAAGTTTCCTTGGAAAGAAAGTTTATGAATTATGAATGAAGGAGCGGGAACGTTGTTTGGTGGGAACGAAGAACGAACAATGGAAAGAAAAAAAAATTGAAGGAAGAAAATAACTAAGGGATTTTATTTTTATTATATTTGAAAGCCCTAATTATTTTTTTCCTCGGAAATTGATGTTTTTAGATTTTTGTTTTTTATCAAGAATTTTCGTGTGATGTTTTTTATTGGGTAAGATGAACGATGGAGAATGGATGATTGAAGAAGTGATCTGTTTTCTATAGAGATAACTAATTTGTTGTAATTTTTGACTATTTAGATTTTCTTTTCTTTTTTTAAATATATACTATTTTTTATTCTTTTATTACTAAATTTATCTTTTTTTATTGTTTTTAAAATTATAAAATTCTATCTCATTTTGAAATTTGAAGTTAGGTTCAAAAACAAAATGTTTCCTCTAGATAAAAGTGGTGTTTTTCTGAATCTGGAAGCAAAGTGGTAATAACTACTTTAAATTCAATCCCATAATTGTGAGTAATAAAGTTTTAATTCTGACTGACATATAATTTAGTAGTATTGATTGTTGTCCTTATGGATGGAATTTTTGTTTTTGTTTTTGTTTTGTTTGGTTTTGAAATAAAAGTAAATGAATTATTATTTTTGTGAATTAAAGTTTAGTCAAACTTTTCTTTTGGTACTGAAAAACTTTATTCATTATTCAAAGGTAAGTTTGTAAACCATGGGGCTTTTGGTTGGATACTTCAATTTAAAACCACGGGATTCATGATTACAGTGAGCTCAATGTGCAGTGTATGTAAACTCATGATTTACTTTTTCAATCAATGATATATTTATTTCATACTTAATACATCACAATTTAGAGGAAAATAGTTAATTTAGAAAAAATATATATTCAACAATCAAGAATTAGAAAAATTAATTAATTTAAAATCTTACATTTTTTCACTTTATCACAATTAAAAAACTTTTTTTTTAAATGTTGTTCTGAAGTAAATATTCACTCATGTTTTACACTAAATCATGTCAAAAAAATATAGTTAAGATCTGTTTGATAAAAATAGTTGTTAACTGATAAAATAGTTTATAGTTTTATAGTTGATGATTTATGATTGATAGTTTATAACTTATAATTGATACTATTATCTAATAAATTAATTAAAACGTTTAATAAAATTAATAATTCAACTAATTTATAAATATAAAATGACTTAAAGAATATTTAATATATAATTATTTTATTTTAAATTAAAGTAAATTATAGAAGATAAAAGTGAATTTTTATTAAAATAAATGATAAAAAGTTAAAATACTATTTAAAATAATGTTTAAAAAATAAATTATAAACTAATAAAATAAATTAAGAATTCGTGATCAAAACATCATTTTCTGTTTTCAAACAAAATCAAAATTAAAATATTATATAAACTTATAAATTATAAGTTATAAGAGATAAATTCATAAATCAAATCTTACCAAACAGATTCTAGTCAAATTTTTTTTTACAGGATAGTTAGTCAATTATTATAAAGTGTTATATATGATTTTTCATTTCTAGGAATTTTTTTATTATATAAAATATATTTTTTATTCTTTAAAATATTTCTGTTTATGTAACGGTCAATTATATCAAGTCATTGTTACTTTAACTTTTAAAGTTTTAAATAAATTTTGTATCATTATAAAAATTTAACAAAAATTCATATTTCTAATATAAAAAATTAAATAAAAAAATTTACACACAATAAAACTAAAAATCAATCCAAAGTTTCATAAGATAAAATATATTTAACTCTATTTTAGATGTAAAAATATAAAATATATTTAACTTTATTATAATCAGATGGAAAAATGCATTGCATCATACTAGATATAACAATTTTTTGGTTTTTCATATTTTTAAGGGAAGATAATTACTGTGTGTGAATAAACTAACTAACATATGTTTGTATGTAGAGGATTTTACTTGATAGGATATATAGTTTATAAGAATATTCTCATGAAATTTACTAGAAACTCTACAGGGCTTCTTTGTTATAGAGTTCTCATTAATGACTTTTGGTTTGATCTCTTATTTTTATCTATGTAATTATATATGTTTTAATATAAATTCTTCTAAGAAATTAAAATAATATATTAAGAATAAAAAAAATCCTTGTAACACAAGGTTTACAAGAAGTATTAAAATAAATACAAAAGAAAAGTTACAATAAATTTAAGATCGAAATATAATACCAAACAACAAAAACACATCAAAATTATAAAACTATAGTTTTTTAATATATTTTTGCGGTGGCCTTGATGCAACTTCTCATTTAAAATAAATAAATAAATATAAATAGTTAGTTTTACAATAAAAATTTAATTAAAATGCATTGTAAAAAAGTTTTTTATATTGTGGATTAATTTACTTTAATTTTAATTTAAAAAGTATTAATCCGTTAACTTCATTATCTCTCTTATCATTTTTTATTAATTTGAGTAATTAATTAATTTAAAAACATTAGGTATTTAACTTTATAATAATTATTAACTCTAACAAAATTTGAGTAATTAATTAATTTAAAAATATTGAATATTTAGCTTTATTTTATAAATTAAAGTCGTTTAGTCTCTTGAAAAAATTTTAGAAGTAAAACTAAAATTAATTTAATAATTATTAATGTTAATTTATTTTAATTTTAATTTAAAAATATTAATCCATTAACTTCGTTATCTCTCTGTCATTTTTAATTAATTTGAGTAATTAATTAAAAATGACAAACACATTAAGTATTTAAAAACATTAAGTATTTAACTTTATAATAATTATTATTTCTAACAAAATTTGAGTAATTAATTAATTTAAAAACATTGGATATTTAGCTTTATAAATTAGTAACAATAACAAATACCATTAGACAAACTCCATGTTCCAAATGACTATGTTTTCAATGGTAAAAAAACTAATCTCACGTTTCAAATAACTATTTAATATAAATTACTTTGTTTTCTTTATAATAGAATTCTAAAACTTAACCACAAAATATATAACTTAAAGGTTAAAATATCTTTAGAAAATAAATTCTTTTATTTTAGAAAAAGAAAAAAATATAAATTAACTTTTATATATATAAATTAACTTTTAAAGATTCCTATCATTTTAAGACATCTTCTGGTAATAATCTTGGTTGGGCGAAGCTGATTTGAAATAATTCCATTCCTCCCTCAAAATCTATGTTTGTGTGGAAGCTTATCCTCTCCAAAGTTCTCTCTGATGACATCCTAGATAGAAGAGGATTATTCTTGTTTCCTTCTAGATGTGTCTTATGTGGTATTCATGAGGAAACAACTTATCACTTATTTTGGCACTGTACTTTTGCTCAATGCATCTAGAACTGGATATCTTGTGTTACTCATCATGCCTTTCAGTTCAATCTCTTGGAAATCTGGGAAGCTATCAGACTTGGTCTAAGCAAGTGGAATAGTTATTCTTTCTACTATTATCAACACTTTTAACATCATCTGCTATTGTAGAAACCATAAAAAATTTAACAACAGAAGCATCCATTGGAAGAGTGCATTGAATATGCTGATAACCAATGTTAATATGATTGGAAATTCTACAAAGGCCTCATCAACTTGTTGTATTATGGACTTTAGAATTCTAAAAGCTTTAAAAGTCCCAATTCATCCCCCTAAAGCTTCCAAAATTATTGAAGTCATTTGGAAGCCTCCTCTCCATTCCTGGATCAAATGTAACTTTGATGGAATATCTCTAGGTGTCCCTGGTCAAGCGGCATGTGGAGGAATTTTAGGGACCACTCATCAAATCTTATTGGTTGTTTTGTAGAAAATCTTGGGGAAAACTATGATATTAATATATAATTTATTTGTGTAATGAGGGCAATAGAATTATCCTATGATAGAAATTGGAGACATCTTTGGGTAGAAACTGATTCCAAATTAGTTTCTCTAGCTTTTAACAACACTAACATTGTTCCTTGGCCGCTGAAGAACAGGTGGCTTAACTGTATACATAGAATTAATAGTATGTCTTTTCTTTTATCCCATATATTTAGGAAAGGGAACCATTGTGCATACAAACTAGTTTCATTAGGTCTTACCATTCAAGGTTTTGTTTGGTGTGGAATGAAGCTCATGTGTATGTTTTTGATGGTATGGTTCGTAATAGACTAGGTCTTCCTTAATTTCGTTCATGTCCCCCCTCTTTTGTATATCTTTTTTATATATTGAATTTTATTTTGCTTAAAAAAAGCTAAAATTTTAAACGTGGTTGTGGCATACTACAACTTCTTGACTATATTAATATTTAACTTTTATTCTTCAAATTTGGCCCATCCATTTTTAGTTATATTATATGACGTTAAATATTTATCTT